CCCGCCGACTTTTGCAGTAACATTTTGCTAGAGTGCTTTTGCCGGGGTACCCTAACCCTTTCGACCCCAACGGTAGGCTTGACCCCAGCTGCCCAGCGAGTGCCTTGCATCCCTAGCCCGTAGTTTCCCCCTACCCGACAGCCCTGCTTCGAAGTTGGACGTCCCGCGCCGCGGTTCGAGTTGGTAGGATTGGTTGGACGACGTGTAGAAATTTGTGGTCAAGACATGATCATGCGGAAAGACATCTAAAAGCACTTACAGTAGCAACATCACGTCATGTCTCGGCTTGCCCCTCGTGGCGCGCTGCTGCGGCAGGCGCCGGCGCCCTGGATCGTGGCAGCATTCAGATGACCGGCAGTGTTGGCACTGTGATAGTGCCTGATACTGAGATAGTGTCACCTGTCTGGCGTACGACACTGAGATAGTGTCGGAGGGCGGGGTGGGTCCACTAAAAATGGGGGGGGGGATAGGAAGGCCACATGTGGGGAAACCGTTCGGAAACAGGCGAGGGGCAGGCGCGTAAAGGCGGCACTGAGATAGTGTCGCAAGTCGGCAGGGACAGGCAGGGACCGGCAAGGGCATCGCACGGCGCGGACGTTCATAGACTGCCAACTTTTCCGGCCTTTCGTCCCTCATTCATGAGGACTGCCTAGCAGAGCGCCCGCCCGCCTCTTCGAGCCGTCATTGCAGCCGCGTGAGGGGCAGTGTCACCACGCTCATTAAGCTTGGCTTCCATTGACTGAGTGACCGAGAAAAATATGGCCGAAGTAGATGAGCTGACTACGCCGTCAATACGCGGTCAGTACGCGGTCACTACGCGGTCACTACGCGGTCACTACGCGGTCACTACGGTCACTTCGCGGTCACTACGCGGTCACTGCGGTCACTATACGCGGTCACTACGCGGTCACTACGCGGTCACTACGCGGTCACTACGTGATCACTACACGGTCTCCGCCGTCAAATCCCCTAACCCCGGCATCCCTCAAGCAGATGAAGCATCGGAGTCATGAGCAAGTGCGAATTTTACTTCTCCGCGCCGGCCTTCGCTTCTTCAGCTGCGGACGGTATGTGTGAGTCCAAGATAGGGCACTGCTGAAGGTACAGGCACAGACACTCTACAGGAGGCACTTGCCAACAGGTGTATAACACAAGGGTCCTGAAGCGGCATAGGGAGCATGATGACTAGCTGCTAGGCCTAGGTGCTGACGATGGCGGGTGAGATGCCCTCGGGGTTCAGCGGATGGAGCCGCGAGCAGTGGGCGGAGTGGTGGTCGACTGGAGCTGGCGAGGCCGCGGCTACGGTCGATGATGAGGAGGAGGAAGAAGAAGATGATGCCGAGACGGCCCAGCATCAAGGCGGCGGTGGCAAGGCCAAGCGGAGGAAAAGAAAGCGCCCCAAGAACAGGGGCGAAGGCCAAATGAACCGCGAATGGTTCAGGGCCAAGCAGGATCATCAGCGGCGAGTTCAGGCCGAGGCTCAGCTGGATCGGATGATGGAGAGAGAGTCTTTGATGCTGGGCGAGGCCTGGGCTGCTGAAATTTTGGCGGAGGAAAAGGAGCGACAACTGGCGGCGGCGACTTCGACGGCTGCCGAGATGACGGCTAAGGCCGAAGGGCTCGGAGATGATCTGCGACAGGCGATTCGGAAGCAGGAGGACCTTCGTCGCCTTTGGCTCGATGCCGAGCAGAAGGTGCACAACCTTTCTGGGATGCTGCAGAAGCAGCAGCAGCTCAACGCCGAGCGCTTGACAGACGTCACGGCGGCCAGAGCCTGTCTTGAGAAGGTGCGGAAGGACATGGAAGGACGCGAGCGCGGAGCAGCAGCAGCATCTGGCCGACAAGCAAGACCTCATGTTTCGAGCCCAAAAGGATTTCAAGGACTACAAGGCCGACAAGGAGATGAAGATTCAGCGCCTGGAGAATCAACTGTTTTTGGAGAGAAGAGCCGGCTGGAGCAGGAGCTGTCCCAGGCCAGAAAAGACCTCATCATGGGGAAGGCCGGTCCGGATCGACAGCTGCTGCATATGTTCAGATTCGGCAGACCACGAGCACATTGCGTGTTTTTTTTGCGGCGCTTGTCAAGGCAGGCTTCATCACCCAAGTGGCCGCCAAGGAGAAGACCATCCAGGCTCTGAAGACCGAGAAGGCCCGGTTTGATGTTGGGTCGCGTTGCTTTCACTTGGTTTGTGCGAGCCGAGTCCAAACCGCTTGGCAGGAAGCGCTGGCCAATCTGGTCTCTGAGTTTGAGCGCCAGTTCACCAGGAGAGAGAGGTAGGAGGCCGGTCTGCTCCACTATGTGACCTGTACAAAAATCACCCATCCATACGCGGGCCGCATCGTCAGAATGTCAGAACAGCAGACCTGCCGGCTACGAGATTAGACGCTCGCAAGGCCGCATGTCATTGCAACTCATGTGACGTGATAGCACAAAGTACTCTACTTTGACATCGACGCTCCACGTTTCACAGTACTTGCTTGCCAACCGGGGGCCGAATTTGAGTGCGTGTGTGTTTCCTGAAGCCTTATAAGCCGGGTTGGGATTTACCGTCCGAGCGCGCAGAGTGACTGTTCCTGCTTCCGCAGCCCTCCCCTCCCGCATCTTGTTTGTAACTAGAGCGCCTTGCGATCTCCTTTGCTCCCTTCGACCAGGTCATTATCATCCGCGATCGTCGACTTCTTCAAGGCCAGCTCCTTTTAGCGCCGAGCCGTAGGATCCTTGCTAGCGCGCCGGGTTGCATCTACTGCTACTGAGCAAGCTGGGGTTCGTTATGAAGCGATTTGAAGCTCGAAATTCGCGTAGCAGTTGAAAGCCTGCAGCCATGCCGGAATCAGACAAGAGCAAGGCCTACAAGATTCGCATGCAGCTCAAGAGCAACAAGACTCGCAGGGGCCATATCCTCGGCGTGAAGAAGCGCGCCGAGCTTGAAAGGCAGCAGGAGCTGATGAAGCATCAGACTGCCGAGACCGATCGGAGCATCCAGGCTACCCGTTCGGATGGTCAGGAAACGCGAGATTTGATCGCATCTATGGAGGCCAGATTGCTGGATGCCATCCAGAATCCTCGCAAGAGAGCGTCGAAGAATAAGGCGACGGGCAAGGGCGAGGAGATCGCCGAGGGCGATCACAAGAACGAAGCCGCAAAGGGCAAGCACAAGAAGCCCAAACAGACGGAGGAGCAGAAGGCGGAGAAGGAGGCGGAGCGCCAGAGGAAGCGCAAGGAGGCCCAGGAGGTCAAGGATGCGAAGACTGCGGAGAAGAAGACGCGGGAGGCAAACAAAGCCGCGGAGAAGGAGAAGCGGGAGGTCAAGAAAGCAAAGCTGAAGGAGATTCGCGAGAAGAAGGCCGCCGTGAATGCCGAGCTGAAGGCCGCGATGGCTGAAGGGTCGAACAAGAAAAAACGTGGCGCAGACGAGCAGGTCGAAACGGCGGAGCCCCAGAGCCAAGCAACCTCCTCGGGCGTGATCGGTCGGATGAGTCAGCTATTCGGAGGTCGGCGTAGTGAGGCTGACGCTTGAGTTTCTTGGTTTTGCAGGCTCTTGTACATAGTCGCACGCGTTCGGCGGGCTCTGATGCTTTTTCGGAGTCGTTAGCCGGGTCATTGCTCGATCAGCCTAGCTCTGGATCCCTACGCGTGTTTGAGTCACCGCTGGCTCGTAGCAGGATTCGCCGCGTCATTTTTGAGAGCCGTCTTCCGGGCAGCATTTGCACAGGCATAAGACCCGACAGCTTTCCTCAAGCAACGTGCAGCAGTTCGCTCTTTAAGTACAGCGAGCGTGCTGCTACTGACCGGGATCCTCACGATCCGCCAAGAGAATGAACGTGAGCGCTAGCCTCTCTTTTCGCTTGCACTGCTGAGCTGCTTTTTGGGTGCCTCGTGATTTCTCGGCATTCCCTGACACACCGGTGTTACATCGACCTTCGCCGCCTTCGACGAATCCAGGCCTCCAGCAGCGTCGTTGCACCAACGCCGTGTTGTTGAGCGAGTGCTTAGCTCTGACTGGCGCGGTTGCCTTGATGCTTGCTGTGCGCCGACCCGAGCTTTCTTCAGGATGACCGTCGAGCGATTTGTGATGACACAAGCTAATGGCATTCACGAAGCTTTCAGCGAGCCTTGAGCCGGAGCTGAGTGGTCAGGTAATTTTCTCATTCGCATAGGAAACATTCTTAATAATCATGGCGGAAGCCTTCTTGCTGCTCATGAACCGCCAGAGGGCGGTACCTCTCGACCAAGCTCGGGCTGTGGAGGCTCCCCCAGCGGCGGCCAGGGTTCGAAGCTTGAATCCTCGGCGCAACACCTTCTGGTTGCGTCAGATCTCCTTGGACGCTCCGCCTGGACAGTACTTGAGCGTGGAGAGCCTGAGGCTGGCGCAGGAGTCGTTGCAAGACCTCCTGACCGTGCAGCTTCCGTTCATGGTCAAGATCATCATGCGCATCCGCCTTTCGGAGGAAGTCGTGGATCCCGCGACTGGGGAGCGGGGATCGTCTACAGCGAGCGCCGCATCGCCACGGTGCCCATGCTGGTTCGTCCGCTCGCAAACCCCGACGAGAGGCTTCGTCGCTACATCGTGTCGACGGCGCAAAGGACTCTCGAAGATCGCCTGGATGCGAGGTTCCACAACTCGCTCCAGAAGTTCGAGGGCATCATCGACATGCAGATCTACACGACGCCGAGCCGAGAGCTTTTTTTTTTTGGAGCTTGCTCAGCTTCCTGCCGCACCTGGTGCGAACTTCGCCGGAGGCTGTTGGAAGGAGTTGCCGGAGCTCTTGCGCCACGGCAAGAAGGGGCTCTGGTCCCCCAAGAACGCCGACAACCAGTGCTTCCGCTACTGCGTGATGGCCGATCTCCTGGGCTGTCGCGATTGGGGCAATGAGTATCGCAAAAAGGTCTCCGAGTGCAGAGGGCGACCTTTCTACGACCTCGCGCACGGTCGGCCTAGCAACAGGATGTGCCTTTCGGGTCCTGTCGACGTTTATGTGAACAGGCAATCCGTCGACTTCAGCATGCTCCCGGAAGAAAGTCCGGTTACCTTCGAGGACGTCGAGAAGTTTGAGCTGGGGAACGCCGGCGGGAGAGGGGTCAAAAAAAAATTTAAAAAGGATCAAAAAAATATTTACAAAGGATCAAGAAAAAATTTAAAAAGGATCAAAAACAAATTTACGACTTACAAGGCAATTTGTTGCTTTCCTGGCTTAGTGGCTTCCGGCTTCTTGGTTTCTCGGCTTCCTAGCTTTTCGGCTTCCCAGCTTGTTGGCTTCTCGGCTTCCCAGCTTGTCGGCTTCGC